GTTACACGTGCGGGCTGCGGCTTCCTTGTTTGCCTGCCTGCTTGCGTGGCCTGCTTGCTTGCCTGCCTGCGTGCTCGCTTGCGTGCGCGCTTGCTTGCAGGCTTGCGTGCTCTGTTGCTGGTTTCCCAGAGCTTACTTGCGTGCGTGATTGATTGCGTGCGTAATTGCATGCTCGCTCGATTGCGTGTTTGCGTGCCCGCTTGCGTTCGTGCTTGCTTGCGTGCCTGCCCTGTGCTCGCACTTGCTAGCCCCTAGCCTGGGAGGAAACGGCTTTTGCTCGAGCGCGTTCGTCAGAAGTACGTCTGCAATTCGAGCCGGCGCGTTTCGCCTGTGCTGGACCAGAGGTTGCTGCAGCACTGCGGGAAAGGAAAAAGCCTTCGTGCTCGGTCGCCTGCCTGCGTTCCCGCGTGCTTGCTTGCGCGCTTCTGCGCTTGCGTCCTTGGTTGCGTGGCGTTCTTCCTTGCGTGCCTGTTTGCTTACATGCGTGCTTGCGTGCTTGCGCGAGTGCTTGCGTGCTTGCGTGCTTGCTTGCCACCAGACAGTTCACTCCTCAGTACCAACAGCTCGGCTACGCTAATGTATTACACCACGTTCATTTGGAGTCAACGCTGGTAGATGTCGTGCTTTCATTGTATTCCGATAGGCCCCGTAAAGTGGCACAATGGTGTCCCGAATGGTGTGTGATAGCGTCCCCATGGAAGCCCCGAGAAAAGTTCGGTGGGGCCCCCATGCATGTTCAACGTGCATGTTCAATGTCATCCCAAGGATGTACCAAGAGTGTAAATGGTATGTGGATTTCAGATTGCTTCCCAATCGAGCTGCAATGGAATAATGATGTGCATCATGATGCGAATGCTAGAGAATTCAGTTGCGAAGACGGTTTCGGTGCTTGCCCCATAGTGGCTTGCAGTGTCCCAGCGTCGGGCGGACCGATGCCATCAGAACTCGTTGAAGTTACCTCATCCGCCTAAAGCTTCCAAGCTCCAATAGTTGTACAGAGCCACAGCTAAGGCCAAAGCGCAAGCCTCAACTAGAGTTTAAGCAAAGGCGCAGAGCTAAGAGCTAAGCGCTAACTCGAACCGACAGCTAAAGCAAGCAAGGGATGGCTACTGCAAGCGTGAGAAGTACATGCTCCAAACTTCCGCTGAAGCTAGCGCTCAGACTGGGGATCAGGCTAAGGTTAAAGAGAAAAGTAAACGATCTGTGCGGTCTGAAGTCAGGACGTCGCTCGAGGCTCCACCGCCCGCAGTGGCTCGCGGTGTAACGAGGTGTCGCGCTGAGGCGTTTGACATCGGGAAACTGTTGCTGAGAGCTATCAGCTCTGAGCAACAGTTTCAAAGCGCTGATTCCGAATCAAAGCTTAAGCAAAAACAAGAAGTTGCTCAAGCTTAATCGAAGCTCAGGCAAAGGCACAGAGCTAAAAGGCAACCTAAAGCTGACTGCTAAAACGCAAAGGTACGGCGGAAACCAATGTGCAAAGTAGCACAGGAAAAAATAATACAACTGCGCAACACATACGGAAGCTACAGCAACACGCAAAGTCAACACTAAGCAGGTGCTAAAACGATAAGCTACACGTAAAGATATTTGTAAGGGACCCAGGTGGTCTTTCATTTCGGCGTCGGTAATACCAGGACCTCCGCCGTGGGGCCCAACGATGTCCCGCAGTGTCCCACCGTGGAGTTGTGGAAAATAACAGATGAAGCGAATGCTGAAACTCAAGCTAACGCTGCGACTGAAGCTGGAACCGTGCTGAAGCGAAACACTGTGAGTGAGTCGAAGTATGATGGGCGGTAATGATTAGCTGTTGCACTTAGCTTCGATTCAATGGCTAAACCTGAAAGCGAAAAACTGATGATGTTTGAGTGGTGTTTCTCTGCTGGCACCTGCCATTTGCTGGCAGCTGCCTTCTGCCTGCCAGGGCGACGCCATAACAAAGCATGTGCGTGCACAAGAAGACTCAAATGTGGCCGTTGGCACCGATCAGTAATGGACGCACAACGAGCAGCTTTGGCACGAGAAATTGAAACATGTGTCGAACCACTTCCAACACCAACCCCCTTCTCTCCACAGGCCTTTCTACCAGACAGCCAACGAAGCCGACCAAGCGCTAAAAAGCAAAGCAAAACCTCAGGCTAAAGTGACATTCGAAAACAGAAGCGGAATCTGTGAGGGCTCCCCAACACGAGCAATACGTGAAACATAATGTGAGCCACGTGAGCCACCAGTGACATCCACCCACACCTAACAACCTCTTTACCAGCCAAAGGCCACTCTACTAGATCGCGAACACATTCATACCACCGACGCCTTGCTCTTGTCGGACATGATCAAAGTGTAGAGGTAGCTGGCGCACCGAATCTTGAACTTGGTCTCCGCACCATTCTTCTTGATCTTCACCGACTTGGCGTCCTTCCGGCGCGCAATCTGCAAGAACTGGCGGATCTCCGTAATCTGTTTCGGCATTGTCCTTAGCTCTTCCCGGTCTGCGTGCGAGGTCGGGACACGTTCCCTGAGCCGAAATCATGAAGTCAGCAGGAAGACGAAGATTATGGCGATCAGGAGCACAGCGACCGACCAGCATGAGGACGAGCACGAGGCCCACGAGACCGACAACAAGAACGTGTTTCGACAAGGGAGAGAGGGACGGCAATGGAGACGTGAGAGGAAGAGAATCTTGACGACAGCGACGAACTGCCAGATCAGGAGAATGGAAAGGGGGATGGACAGGGAGGACAACCTGGACGAGAGGACGAGGACGTTGATGACAGCACGGCAGTAGGACAAGCAACACCACGCGAGCGCGGAGGCTGGATGCAAGCGGAGGTGGCGGCAGCGACGGAGCGCAGGCACGGAGGGGCAAACGCAGCTAAAGGCAGAACGATCTCCCGACGCGTAACACGTGCGCCTTCCGAATGCTGACGTCAACGTGCTCGGGTATATCTCAGACGGCGCATAAGCCACGAACTGAAGGCAATCGCGGAGCCCAAAGGAAGGCGATAAGCGGGATCGCAAAAACTTTCCTGTGGGAGCTCTGCGGCACACATGCCTGCAACAAATGACAGTGTTGCTCGCACCATCGCAGGCAGCATATTTGGATACCCTTCTTGTGGATACTCGCTGGGAGCTCCTTATTGGCGTTGGTGGCGAAGCATGGCGCGCACATTGCGAAGCGATGGTGGTGCAGGACGGCAGAGCTGGTAGCTGGCAGGCCGCTGGGAACCTGGCCTAAATGCGACCGACCAGCCCCAGCAGTCCAGACACTGGCGCAAACTGCGGGTGCTGGAGCGGGCCTGGGTGCGGCTGTGGGAGTGGATGCGGGCGTGGGTTGCGCAAATCTCTTCCTCCCTCCGCCCCCTCCAAGGCGGCTCGCTCCCGAGAACACGTGGGACTCGGCTCGTACCTTGCTCACTGGACGAACAGCTGAGCTTGTCTACAGCCTGCAATGGCGCATCGTTCTCTCATTTCGGATTGCGTTGGCTTCGCAACGGCACCGCTCCGTTGTCGGCTCACCCGGCCGCGGACGTAAAAGTGTGGGCGTGGGCGTGGGCGTGGGTGAAGTTCCCCGTTGGCGCCGTTCGGTTCCGGCCTGTGCATGATTCCCCATGTTCCTCCTCTACTCTCGGATCTTCCACCGTCTGGTGATGCGACTCGTGTGGACTGGGTGCGGCCTGGTGAACGCTCCTGGGGTACGTTGCGCTTCGGCGTCTACTGCATCACTTTACGACCGGTTGAGGTCCTGCGCTTGTTGAAAAGGTGGCCATGAAATCTGGGTGCGTTCATGGACCCAGCCATGATATCCACGCACCCCTAACTTAGCTGCCACGATACGCAACACGCAACACGTAGCGTAATGATGCGGAGCTCCACGCGTAGACTGAAAACGTGGGCCTGACGCGAGAAGTTCGCCAAAACGTGGGGATGGTAAGTGGAGCCAGCACGCAACGAATCGACGCAGACGTTTATCAGCACGGCACGTGCTGCGTGTCAAAACGGGCGGATCGAGGCAGCTAACTGAGTGAGTCCATGGTCGCCGCCATAATGTCCACGCTGCTGCTGCTAAGGGCAGCCTGTCCCGATGGGCGAAACCCTGCCATATCCACGCGCCGCTCTCGTCCTCACCCCCTCTTCGACGCCTGGTGGCTTTCGCCTCCTATCTCGGGCGCCTCCGGCGGCCGCTCGGCACGACCCGGGGCAGGGGCACCCTCAGAGAGCCCTCGGCGAGGCGCAGCTCTCGATCAGAGAACCCCACCAAAACGTTTGGCCCCCCACCTTCTCGGGTGCTACCTGAATTACCCCAGGCCCAGGGTGTCCCCAGGACCTCCAGGGAGGCAGACTTTCTCCAGAGCACCCCTCATGCCACGCAGAAGTCTCCCTTTCAATTGTTTTTTTTAGTTTTGTCATGTCTTTGGAGAACTCTCCCTTTGAGAGCCGAAGACGAGCAATTCGCCAATCGACTTGGCAAGGCGAAGCTGGGGTTGGGGACGGGGGGGGGCCGTGAGAGCATGGGGGCACCGTGAGGCAAGGGCGGGGGAGAGAATACCGTGAGGAGGGGATGGTGCCGTGAGGCTGGGGCGCGGGGACGGGTACCATGAGACTTGGGGTGTACCGCGAAGCTGGGGCGGGGGACGAGCCCCGAGATGCGAGGTATCGAAAGGATGCAGCATCGTGGAAGATCACGACCAGAATCCCGGACCCCACGATGCTGCGCCACTTCTCGAGCTGGGCCGACCCGTGAGAGTCCCGGGGGTCCAAGCCGAGCGCAAACGCCTGGCGCGAGAAAATTGAGACGCCAAATCTCAGGGAAGCATCGCAAGGCCGGGGAGGATACAGCGAGGCTGGGGCGAGAGACGGGTCGGGCGCCCCCGACGGCAGCGGCAGCGGCCGCCGGGGAGGCCCGCACAGCGCGCCGACAAGCGGGGGGAGGCCCCGCTGCCCCGAGGGCGGTGCGCGTTCGGCGGCGGGCGGCGAGGGCCCCCCCCCCCAGGGCGCGCCACGGCCTTGGGCGACAGGCCGGCAGGGAGATCTCGCCAGTTCAGGTACACCCTCGCCGGCGCCGGCGATGGCGGCGCCGCCGCCGACGACGACGACGACGAGAGTGGCGGCGGCGGAGGGAGATTTCTCCAGAACAGGTTCATCCTCGCGGGCGCCGGCGGTCAACTCCCTCCTCCTCCTCCTCCTCCTCCTCCTCCTCCCTCCTCCTCCTCCTCCTCCTCCTCCTCCTCCTTCTTCTTCTTCTTCTTCTGCTTCTGCTTCTGCTTCTGCTTCTGCTTCTGCTTCTGCTTCTGCTTCTGCTTCTGCTTCTGCTTATGCTTATTATTCTTCTTATTCTTATTCTTCTTATTCTTCTTATTATTCGTATTATTCTTATTATTCTTATTATTCTTATTAGTATTATTCTTCTTATTATTATTATTCTTATTCTTCTTCTTATTATTATTATTATCCTCATTATTCTTCTTCTTATTATTATTATTCTTATTCTTCTTCTTATTATTATTAGTATTATTCTTCTTATTCTTCTTCTTATTATTCTTCTTCTTCTTATTAGTATTATTATGCTGCTTATTCTTATTATTGTTCTTAGTATTCTTATTCTTCTTCTTATTATTATTATTATTCTTCTTTTTTTCTTCTTATTCTTATTATTATTATTATTCTTCTTCTTCGTCTTCTTCTTCTTCTTCTTCCTCCTCCTCCTCCTCCTCCTCCTCCTCCTCCTCCTCCTCCTCCTCCGCCTCCGCCTCCGCCTCCGCCGCCGCCTCCTCCGCCTCCTGCTCCATCTGCTCCTCCTGCTCCTCCTCCTCCTCCTGCTCCTCCGCCTCCGCCTCCGCCTCCTCCTCCTCCTCCGTCCCTCCTCCTCCTCCTCCTCCTCCTCCTCCTCCTCCTCCGCCGCCGCCTCCGCCTCCGCCCTCCGCCTCCCTTCCGCCTCCCTCCGCCTCCGCCTCCGCCTCCGCCTCCGCCTCCGCCTCCGCCTCCGCCTCCGCCTCCGCCTCCGCCCTCCGCCTCCGCCTCCGCCTCCTCCTCCTCCTCCTCCTCCTCCTCCTCCTCTCCTCCTCCTCCTCCCCCTCACTCCTCCTCCTCCTCCTCCTCCTCCCTCCCCTCCTCCTCGCCTCCTCCCCTCCTCTCTCCGCCTCCTCCTCTCTCTCCTCCTCCTCCTCCATCATCCTCCTCCTCCTCCTCTCCCTCATCCTATCATCATCTCCATCATCATCATTCATCATCATCATCATCATCATCATCATCATCATCATCATCATCATCATCATCATCATCATCATCATCATCATCATCATCATCATCATCATCATCATCATCATCATCATCATCATCAGCATCATCATCATCATCATCATCATCATCATCATCATCATCATCATCATCATCATCATCATCATCATCATCATCATCATCATCATCATCTTCGTCATCGCCATCGTCATCATCATCATCAGCAGCAGCATCATCATCATCAGCAGCACCCTCATCAGCATTATCATCATCAGCAGCAGCATCACCCCATCATCATCAGCAGCAGCAGCAGCAACATCATCATCATCATCAGCATCATCATCATCATCATCATCAGCAGCAGCAGCAGCATCAGCATCATCATCATGACGGTCGTCGTCGCCATCTTCTTCATCATCATCATGATCATCATTTCCACCGCCATCATCAACAACATCATTGCCATCAGCATCATCAGTAACAGTATCATCATCAGCAGCAGCATCATCACCATCATCATCACCATCACCACCACTTCCATCAGCATCATCATCATCAACACATCATCAACAGCAGCAGTATCATCATCAGCATCATCACGGCAGTCGTCGTCATCATCATCATCGTCATCAGCATCATGTTCATCATCAGCATCATCAACAAAATCCTTGATATCAGCATCTTCGGCAGCATCACCATCATTTTCATCATCACCATCTGCATTATCATCGCCATCGTCGCCATCAGATCAACATCACAACCACCATGAGCATACTCATACCAGAAACATCACCATCGTCATCGTCATCGTCATCGAGACCATCATCAGCATCAGCATGGTCGTCGCCTTACAATCCGAATCCTCGTCCTCATCAACAACAGCATCCGAATCATCATCATCATCATCATCATCATCATCATCATCATCATCATCCCCATCCTCATCCTCCTCATCATTATCAGCAGCATCTTGATCTCTGTCATCATCATCATCATCATCATCATCATCATCATCATCATCAGCGTCACCACCATCATCAGCAGCAGCATCATCATTATCATCATCAGCATCATCATGAGCGTCAGCATCAGCATCATCAATCACATCCTTGTCATGAGCATCATCACTATCAGCATCATCATCACCATCATCACATCATCGTCATCATCATCATCATCATCATCACCATCATCATCATCTTCTTCTTCAGCAGCATCATCATCAGCATCGTCATCATCATCAGAATCCTCTTCCTCCGCCTCCACTTCCTTCTCCTCCTTCCTTCCTCCTCCTGCCCCCACATGTTCTTCATCCTCGCCCCCGCCTCCATGTGAAGAAAAGGGAGAACGGCAGCAGGGGGAGCAGGCAGAAGGAAGCAGGCTGGGGGGAAGTTCTGTGGCAAAGAGGCAGCGGGAGGAGAAGCAGGAGGAGGAGGAGGAGGAGGAGGGAGCAGGAGGGCGGAGGGCGCGGTGAGAGGAGGACGGAAAAGGAGGCGGAGGAGCCAGAACAGGCAGGAGAGGCATGAGGTTCTGGACGGGCGCGCGGACGTGCGCCTTCACGCGGCCCGCTCCAGACCGTCTGAAACCCCCCAAAAATTTCACCTCATAGGGGGAGCGCACATCCTACTCCCGCCGGCTTCCGCTGGCCTCCCGCTGCTTCCCGCCAGCGGAGCCGCCCCCGTCTTACTCCCGCCGCCTTCCACCGACCAGGAGAGGCCGCAATCGAATCGACAAACCGGATCGGCGATCGACATGAATCGGATCGGCAGAAATCGGCCGCCGAGCCGGCAGAAGTCGAGTGGGCGGAAATCGGCAGGCGGGCAAGCCCCTGCAGAGAAATCGGCACCCACATCAGAACCCGAAGCCGGATCGCCTCGGAATCGGAAGCCGCCCACAAGTCGAAGCCGAACTTCGAAGCACCTCGGAGGCCTCGCGGCGGGCCCCCGGCCCCGAGGCACTCGCAGGCGCAGGGCCGTGCCTGCGGCGCCCCGCGCGGCCCTCGCCGCGGGCGGCCGGGGCGGCGGCGGGGCCCCGACGCGCGCGCGCCGCGCGGGCCACGGGCGGGGCGTGCGGGCGGCGCCCCCGCGGCAGGCGCCACGGGCGGCCCCCAGGGGGCCCTGGCGGCCACGCCGCCGGCCGCGCCACCGCGACCGGGCCCATGCCGAGGGACGCCCTGCAGGCCGAGGCACGCCCTGCCTGCCTCGTCGTCGCCGAGATCGGCATGGGAGGGCCCCAGGGCCACGCCACCGGGAGGGGCGCGGGGGGGCGTATGGAGGGGGACAGCGGGGGGGGGGTCCTTCTCGGTGGTGCGGGTCCCCGGGAGGCCTGCACGGGGCGGCGGCCGTGGGGTCGAGCGCGCGGTTCTGCAGCGGCTGCGCGGGGGAGAGGCGGTGCGCAGGGGCACGGGCTCGGCCACGGGGCAGGGCGCAGAGCCTGCCTCCACGGAACGGAGGCCCGCGCCCTGGCCGGGTTCGGGCGATTCGTCTGAAGAGCGCGCCATGGGCGCGCGGGCTATGCTATGCTGTGATGGGTGCGGGGGTTGCTGAGGGGATGCGCGGCTCATTATCAGTTGATGCCAAGGTGGCGTAAATCTGGCCCAACCTAACTTACGAGTGGCCTTGAAAAGCCCCAAGTGCCTTGGGGGGGGATAACTCCGCTAGGTGGCCGGAGCCCAGTTAGCCTGGGTCGCTAGCCCGCCCCCCTTAACCACTATGAGCCTTCGTACCTCACGTATCAGCTAGGTTAGTCCAGAAAAACCAGATTGGCATCCACAGATAGCCCGCTTATCCCCTCAGCAACCCCAGCACCCATCCCAGCATAGCATAGCCTGCGCGCCCAAGCGCGCTCCTCAGGCGAACCGCCTGAACCCGGCCAGGGCGCCGGCCTCGGTGCCAAAGAGGCAGGCTCTGCGCCCGTCCCTGTGGCCGAGCCCGTCAACCTGCGGACCACCTCCCCGGCGCAGCGGCCGCGTAAGCGCATGCTCGGCCCCGCAACCGCCGCCGTGTGAAGGCCACCAGAGGCCCGAAGAGGTAGAGGGGACCCGCGCCTCCTCCACTGCTCCAGCCGCACCGTCGGCTGGTGACACCCTGGAGCTGCAGCCATCAGCCCATGAAGTTCGACTGGGTTCAGCTGAAGATGTCCACTGTCAGAAACATGCACGGCAACAGCTGTCGGCCGATGACCCCCGAAGGCTGCAGCCCTCAACCAAATGGGTTTAGCTGGGCTTCCTAGCTGAGAATGTCCGCTGCCCTAGCGTGCACGGCAACAGGCGAGCGAACGGAAGATCTGGGGCCCCGCCTCTCTTGCTGGAGATGTTGCCTCCTCCTCCTCCTCCTCCTTCCCTTCCTTTTCTTTTTCTCCTCCTCCTCCTCCTCCTCCTCCTCCTCCTCCTCCTCCTCCACCTCCTCCTCCTCCGCCTCCACTCCTTCCCCGTATTCAACAAACAGTGATTGCACTTCGGGGTTCTCATTTCTGCTCAAAAGAGCTGGGCTGGTGTGCCGCTTTGGCGGCACTGTTGTCGCCGTCGGCGCCCGGTCGCCGCCTCGTCGCCGCCTGTCGTCTGGCCAGGTGTGTGCCGCTCTGGCGGCTCTGTTGTCGCCGTCGCCGCCCCGTCGCCGCCCGATCGCCGCCCGATCGCCGCCCTAGTGTCTCCTTGAAAAAATTCTACCACCCTCCCCCCCCCCCCCCCGGATTTATCGACTCCCCGGGAACTTTTGCAAAATACAGATGATTCTGACCCAGTGTCCATCCTACCTGTGAATTCATACTGTCCCAGCCAAAATTGGTATCGGCCCCTCTTCGATTCCCGTGCAAAAAGTACTACGCGCACGCGCTCATTTATCAAAAACCCTAAGTTTCAAATAATCCCTTGCCGCAGAGGAAAAAATAAAAACAAAAAAAAACAAAAAAACAG